CTCTCTCTCTCTCTCTCTCTCTCTCTCTCTCTCTCTCTCTGTCTGTGTGTCTCTCTGTCTGTCTCTCTCCTCCGCTCGGAGCCGCTTTGTTCCCCCGCGCGGGCGGAGGCCACCGCGCGCATTGTGCGCTCGCCTTCACAATGCCGGAAAATGTATCTCGACGGCGCCACACACAGACCCATTTGTCGAGCAATAAACATCGCCGCACCTCCCAACCGAGGGCAACTGGAGCGCGACGCGACGACGCGGCGGAATTGTATCCGAGGGGCGCCGCGGACGTCTCCGATTGACATCGGGAAAGACGTGGTTTATTGACCCTCTTGGAAAAGCTACTCGACGGTTTTCGGAGCTATAATTTAAAATATTTTCCGCTTGACGGAATCATTGGAATATTTTATTCCTGCCTCTCTTTCGCCCATTTTTCGTGAGAATCATTATTACTAACGACAATTATTATCGTATATTTAAACCATTAATGGTTTTTAACATACAATGTAGGCTTTCACGGCCTTCAAGCCCGGAAACAACTGATTTTGATGTTTAAAGGTTTTTGTTTAGAAAGACATATGAGTTTCCTACTCAAATTTCTTTATCTTTGCTTTAAATGAAATATTGAGAGCTCTGTATATATTAGCAATTGCTTTTATTTATCCTGTTTTATAATATTAACACAAAATTTTAATAATGTTTATAATTATTTGAATTAACGCTTACCTGTCTTTATTTCTTCATTATGGCATTTTATTCAAAAGCCAACTGCATACTATAGAGAAGTTGGTCTTAGTCCTTACATTGTTTTGAGCGAATTGCGGTCGATCTATCGAAAATAATTGTCGTTTTGTCTGGAGCGTAAGTGTGAAGTTATAATTAGTAATGCGAAGATAGAAAGTTTTTTTAAGTACGAAGTGAAATTCCCTGCCAACGCATGTGGGAGTATTTATAACGATATCTGACACACGTGTCCTTTTTAAATCATAAAACTTCAACTACGTGATTAACTTAAGATGGATCATAAGATTTCCTGCTATATGTAAGTATTTACTATTTATTTCAACTGTCTACTAAGTTTAATATTGTGTATGCTTATACGCAGGTGGGTAAAAATAAAATATTTCAATTACATTTTTCAGAAATATGTTGCAAACTCTATCAATAACTACGAATCGACTTCGCATTGTAAAACTGTTTTGACTTCATTTTCATCAACTCATCAAACTTAGTCGCTGTTCATCAAATTATCCTGTGCATAATTATGAATTAATATATTACATACCGACTGATATGGTTCAAAGCGTCACTGCAGTGTCTCTAAACAGGAAGTTTTAGGATTCGTTCTTCGATTCGATTCTAAACACATTAGCTAAATAGATATGTAAAATTCAGGCGCTGTCTGAAGGAAAAGTCTGGCAAACATCTGATCTTCTTGTTTTCAGTGGTTTCTACAATCAATACCAGCTGAATGCCAGAGCAGTACCGTAACAAACGAGCGACAGATCGCGCGCGATCTCACCTTTCTCTTCCTTGTCCTATTCTCACCTGATTACACACACACACACTTAAGTAACATGCACTACACTACCACAAATGCCGGGAGATTTGTCAGGAGCTGAGAACTTGTTCCGGCTGGGACGGTGCTCAGCTGGTGGTAGATACCTGGTTTAGGAAAACCCCGCTAGCCGATGGTAGGTCGGCGCCGGATGTCTCCATACAACGGGAGAAACATTAGCGCCAACTCCCGAGCAAAAAACATGCATTACGCTTACGGTAATACTGACCCTTGTAGTGGAAGTGCCCAGAATCACTAAAGCAATAAATCCATTGGAAGCTTATATACAGATTGAGCAGGCTAGGGCAGTGCTGGGAGATATTCCTGAATGAGAGATAGCCTGAAGGCTGCAGATTAGGTCGGCGTAGGAACTCACTATCCCGTGAGGGGATGGACACCACCGCCTCCCGTGATAAAAACACGCTCTACACTAGGCCTGCTCAACGCCTCCTCTGCGCTCAAGAGCGAGACATCTGCCCGCGAGAGCCGCGAAAGTGCACATAGTGCAGAAGAGGTGGCTTTCTGAGGAGGGGAAAAGCCCGACGGTGCACGACGCAATGTCTAATTCAATGAGCCATGCTGCGAAATTATGTGAACACTTATTTAAATGAGTAATGTTACATATTTCTACACTCAGTAGTAATAATTCGTGTTCGTGTTCTTCTGTATACTGTTGTGTATCGACATATTTTACTTTTTTGATTTTTTAGTTTATGATCAATGTTACTTGGGATTATGATCATTCTTAAACAATATTTAATGCAATGGTCATTTTTAAAATGATTATTTAAATTTATCTAAAACAATTTACATTTTATTACCTGATTTTTTACTAGGAATATTATAATTTCCAAATAATAACAAAACAAAGGAATTTATGGGAGTGTGTCTAATGAAATTAACCGATGTACTGGATATCGAATTTCGAATCTAAGAGATATCTATAAAGATTTAAGTTTACGTCAATGAAGATGAAGAAACGTTCTATGAAAAAAAACACATATGTGGGACCATTTTCTCTCATTATGAATCTGAATAAGAGATTTCACCGAGCAAACCTTTCTGACGATATGTTACAGGCGATTATGAGATTCTTATGGATATTGTTAAATAGAATACAAATGTCTTTATAATTTTTACACGATGTCGTAAACTATTACCAAAAAATTATGTTCACTGGTTTGATATTAAAAGTATACCTTATAATGTACTCTTGTTAAAAATTAGAGCGGAGAAAAATTAGGTTTTTTAAGAATATGATTTTTGCTTTGAAAGAACCGTCTTATTCAATTGAACATAGTTAAAGAAAAGTAGTTTATTACTTTCTCGTCATCAAAGACAAACGATTCAATAATGCAATTTTGTGTTTAGCACCAAACTAAATTTGTGATTACATTATATCAAAACGAATTACATTATCGGCTCAACAAGCAATTAAAATACTTGGAGTCCAAATCAAATGCATAGTATATTTAATTCATTTCAGGTCCATATTTCACATTGTCATTTATCGACAACAAACATATCCATTATAATACAAAAGACAATGTTACTCTAATTGTATGTAACAGTTCGTCATCTTGTCTCCCATTGATCTTTCAATTTATGCGCTACGGTGCGAATTGTGCATTCGCATTGGTGGTCCCCGCTCCTTTAATTTGTCTCATCCTCACCCTTCATGCTTCTGCCGTTTTCACTCAAGTAGCTTGCGCGCGGCTACGCTCGGAAGCACAAAAAAATTAATTAGTCAAGACATTATATTATTAAGGTTCAAATGTTCATTATCATATTCAAATAAATGCACATCTACACAATATCAAATTTAGAGATTACACGAGAACAAATTACATGAGAAAATTATTTTTATGATAAATAAATGAAGGGATAATAATTAATGTTAGATTTAGTTTTTATGATAAAAACGCTGCTTTCAGTTTAATTACTGCGTCGTGTGTGCACCTGAATCAGATGCAATGGTATGTAGAATTGATACAGTTACAGATTTTTATACATATATGATTCTTCATTGACCTCTCAGAGACAGGCGAGTTAAGCTCAGATTCAATGATGCCTCTATTGTTGCAAGAACGCTGACCATGAGGTCCTAGGAATCGCATTCTGGCTCTCTGGAGTTTCGACGCTAGGTAGATAGGACAAAATCAGCCACTGCGCTGTTTAGATGAGATTTCTAGCAACCGTCTGCTCGGATCGGCAGTTTTTCTTGGTTTCTCCTATCAATGCCAGGTGAATGCCTGTGCAATACTCTAACAAGCGTGCTGCGGACCGCACGCGATCTTTCCTTCATTGTCCGCTCCTCACCTCTATCTTACACACACTTCCACTTTCACACACTACACTACCACGCATATCGGGAGTCTAGTCGGGGGCTTACACCATCTGGGCGGTGCCTCCCTCGCGCGAGATACCTAGATGAGCGATATACTGCAAGCCGACGTGTAGGTGCGCGCCGTATCTCACCATCTAAGGGGAATTCACAGTTACTTGTCTGGAAAAACATTGACTACAATAACGGGACTAATGACTGTAGTAGTTGAGCTACCCGAAGCATCAATCAATCAAATTCACTTGAATAATACAAGCTAATATCTCTACGGAGTTTTTCAAATTATTCTAAAGAAAATTTTGCTCGTCCATATGATGTGTATTGCAATTTTGTTTAATCAAACGAGAATCATGTGTTATGGGGAACTCTTAGAATTTTTATTAGGGTATTGTTATGGTGATTATTAGATACGGAGAACTCTTGCAATTATTTGAATGGTTTATTCATAAAACTCAATTGAAAAACATATAACTAATGGTTTTAGTAAAATATACTGAAAAATATACTTTACTGAAAGAACAGTGGAATTTCAATTAATGTAAACGAGAAATATTTGTATAAATGCAAATTAATCAAATGACAGGTAATCGTGTGTTACTTCAAAGCATTCTGATTAAGTGACTGCAGCGTACACTCAAAAGTTTACAAAACAGTCTGAAACAGGAATCTAAGCAATATTGTTTTTATCATTAGCTTATTACAATTTTCTATTATTAGAAAACATACAATTTTTTATCAATGCTAGAATAAAAAAATAGACAATATTTTTTTCTCCCAAAGAAAGTGTTGCGTGTTTCAATTTTTAAAAATCAACATTCTTTCGTCATAATCCGGAAAAAAGTCGTCCAGCCCAACCGTGCACGCGACTTCCTATCGATTTTCGTGGTCGAGCATTTTGCGTTTCGCAATTGCTGAGCCGACGCCTTAGCAACGTTCACAACAAACGGCGCAACAACACTGCTTGACAAAACTCCCCACCCTCTGTGCTGTACATTACCCTTCCTGCTTGTGTCACCTCGCCGCCCCCGTCGCCCTCGACACCCCTGCCATGGTCGCCGCCACTTACGACGCCCCGCCTCGGCTTATACGACAGAACTATTTATTGCAGGTATGGCCAAAGAGGCTTATACTGAGAATCGTAATAAAGTATGAAGATCTGTTCATTATCTAGCCTCTGGATCCCCTTTTCTTACCATACTCGTCCCTGACAATAATCAGATTGACATTCATATCTATTTAGCTGTTTGGAAATTGCTGAAGTTAACACTGGCAAAGCTTGCACTTCCAATCTGTCTACCACCCTAGAATCTTGCACTACTTTTAGTCCGATCTCCTTTCTCCTCGGATTCTTTTCTTTCGTCTTTATTCCTCGACCGCTTCCATTGTTGCTTTGGGCCCTCTTCTAATCTCTCTTGAGTCTTCTGTTTCTCCAGGTGATGCAGCAGTTATTGAAATTAGTTCCTAACCAGATTAAATCTACTCTCGTTGTCGCAAATGTTAATTCATATTCCATCGCTTACCTACTGTGAGCAACAGAAACAACTAATTAATACTGTATTTATGAAGGCTGTGACGAAAGATTAATTTCAATAACATATATTTCACTTAGCAACTCAAGCTAAGCTTACTTAACTTAGCAGTTAGCTAAAAACGAATATTCAACATATTTTGACAATAATGTTCTAGTATAAAAATGATTGAAATTAATGGGCCACGGATATAAGTACAAAAAAGAATTTAATTTACAGATTCATCAATACATCATGTGGTCTTTTATTCCTTTCATTGCGACTACAAAAATTGCAGCTACTCCGCCTACCACTCTCTCTACAATTTCACGGTCCCCATCGCCCAACCCTCCACGTACTTCTCTACTTGAGTTTTTGTCACCGCCAACGCAGACTCCCCCGGCCCTGCCTCCACTACCCTAACTCCGCCGCGCCGCCTCTCATTTCGCCAATGTCACCATCACCGCATCCGCCTTCACCACCCGCTGTCTCGCCCGTCCCCTGTCAGCGGCGCCGCCGTGTATCGCCTCGCCCCCAACAGCCCGTCCTCGCATTCCCTGGGTTAATCGACTGTTGGCTAATCCACCTTAATGCCGTCGCCATTGATACTATAAAGTACACTGCATGTATTTCTGGCACCACTCCTACATCTACCGCCTCTTCGGCCACCACCTCCACCACCCCGGTGATTACCGGCCCCGCGTTCACGGACCCCGCCTCCACCTTCCACGCGGTCCACGTCCCCGCCTCCACCGTCCCCGCCTCCACCGTCCCGCCTCCACGTCCCGCCTCCACCGTCCCCATTCCGCCGCCCCTTCTCCGTTCTTTCTTTATCACCCAGCGTGTCCACCTCGCCACCCCAACCGACCCTGCCTCCGCCCCCGCCAGCCCAACCGGCGCCAGCAGCTACACCGCCCCCGTCTCCCCCGTTCTCTCTTCCCCCATCCGCGCGTCCACCTCCGCCCCCTCACCACCTGCTCCGCCGCCGCCGCCAACGGCCCACCACGCTGGCCGGCGCAGGCGGAGGCCAGTGCCGCGTCGCCGCCGCGCGCGATGGCCGCGTGGGGCGCTGCCGTGCTGCTGCTGCTGTGTGGCTGCGTGGCGCATGCAAATGCGCACCCGCTGGCGCCGGCGGCGCAATCTCTACTGAATGAGCTGGCGGCCGTGTTGACTCAGCTCACTCAAAGGGCTCGCTCCTTGCTTATCGTTGACGTCGGAAAACCCGATGAGGTGTCTCAGATTCTGCACGCGGCAGCACATCGTTTGCAAGTGGCGGTGTGGCGTCTCGAGGTAATACGTGACGGCTTCTATTTGATTCTTTTGCAAGATAGACGTAGGTTTTTACAACAGTTATTAATGTAGATTTTGTATTGAATATAGGTGTTGTGGTGCGATATTGGCATTGTGGCATTTTTCATAAAATAATTAAAGACGTTGTCATTGCCAACAATATTATTTAATGCAATAGCAGCTTTCGATGGCTTAGCCATCATCATCATCATTTTGTATTGAATTTTAAATTGAAACAATTATGGTATTCAAATTGCCTAATAGACAATGTCCAGAAGAGACATTAACATATACATTCAATGGAAAGCTGAATAAATAAAACTACAAACGAATCAAATCATGTTTTCTAGCTATATCTATACTGCGATTTAAGCCCCTGGCAGGTATCAACTGTTGACGATTTCATCCAATCGGGAGCTTGAACGTCACCTTAGTGATGTCACTATTTTGACGTTCAAAATCCCTATTCCTGCCAGGAACAGAGATGCAAAAACAGCAGTATAATGCTTCTTAATACAAAATACAAGTATTTCTTCATAATGCAAGCCAGAAGTGGTGAGACGCCTGCGAAAGCTCGGACAAATTTTCTGATACCCGTCGACAAATTCCGAATAAATTCCAATGAGTCTTTTTTTATTTTTTAAACAAAATTAATATTTGTAATCTCTAACAAAATTATTCCTTAAATGTTTTTAAGGATTAATTTATATAAGCCAACATTAGTATGTTTGTTCCAATTTATATTCTAATTTTCATTTTCAATTAATGATTAATTCCTTTAATATAAACTTTCATTTTGTCATCTACAGTTAGTAAATATTTTCACTGAAGTTAACGCAGAAATGTCACGGTATTACAGTATGAAAGTTTTTTAACTTTCCGATTAAGCCAGGATCCTGGTTGAACGACTTCAACACACGTCTCCCAGGGATATTTAATTACAGAAAACTGGTTAATTCAAAATAATAATTATTATTATAATTATTCCTTTTTTTATTTTTTTATTCGCAATCATCATGAAGCTAAGCAAAACGTGCATCCCACTGGGACTCAGACTTGCTTATGTGGGTAGAGGCACGTTTATTTTCTATAGGGAGAGTCAGCATTGTTAGCCATAAGGGATGGGATGAAAATTTTAATGATTAATGGTGAAAGAGACACACATTAACATACAGAGACGTACAACACAATCATGCTCGAGACTCGTAATACCAAACTTCAGTAAAAATTCCAACTGTTAATTCGAAGTATTTTTTAAAAATTTGAAAACTGCAAAAAATGGCATGAATTCCACATTGCGGATGCGTTGTGACAAGTAGTAATCCTATTATTTTGAGGTTATTTTAAACAAAAATCTTCGTTGCTTTAAAATAATAAATTATACTTAATAAACATAAATGTCACCTAATATATAAATTTCAATATTACGTATACTTTACATTAAAACAAACTTACGACTTGAAATCCACGGAGAATACTAATAATTGCTCAACATTTATGAACTATCCCCGTAATAAGAGCACTTCGTACACATGGATATACCCTAATAATCGATGCATTATTGCAGAACGCAACCACCTCATTGGGCAACTGTGTGGGAGTCGTGAGCGCTCCGTCATGGAGGGCGCTGAGCATTTGGTTGAAACGACAGCAAGCGCCCCTGACGTCGCCCTCAGGCACTGCGCACTGGCTCATGTATGCGCCCAAAGCCCTCTCTTTCGGGCAAATACTCTCGCTGTTTGACAAAAGCCAGGTGAGCGCGTCCGATGGACTAGCAATGTGTGAGAGGGGAAGTGATAAAAAGTTATTTGAGTCGACAAAACTTTCGGAGTCTCTGGTTTCACCACTTATTTTTAAGCTACGTTTATAAATGCAACTTTTTAACTGTTAGCATACAGCGGAAAATATGATGAACTTTGCGACATTGGTCACTGAATATTTTGGCCGAGAGAGGAAGCACGCTCACTCAGTGAAGGCATTCTCTATCAAAACCTACTCAAAATGTTTACAAACTTTTTATAAAAGTATCAAAATATGTGCGTTCCCGTACGGTTAGTTATAAAAGAGATACATTTATGTAACATTTTAAGAGAATTAATTTTAACCGAAATATATATTTTCGTCAGTTTATGAATAACACTCTAAACTAAGTAAAACAATGAAATTGGATGGTTTCGAAATGTGTTTTGCATTGCAATAAGGAAACGTAGATATATTTATATCTAGCATTGTAAATATCATTTTCTTAAACTAGAATTGGAAGAGCTGGCATGCATAGTCAATGTACTGTTTGGGCGGTTACTCTATGAGGGCCAGCTAAACCACTTACCAACCATAGCTCCTCGAAGGACCAGTATGGTTTCTTAGCGAACATACACGCTTGTACGTTCCGTAAATAAAATACGTAATGCCAGGGAGTTTGTTATCATCCTGTCAATTCAGTAGACGTTACCTGAAATAAATATAATTGTACAGAATAATTGTTACATAGAAGTAGTTAATTAAATGAACGCACTTTAAAATTACCTTAATGACATGTTGAAACACCGTAGGTGTATTTGGAACTTGTATGAATAACTCGTGAAAATTAAAATGACAACATCTTGGAATAAATGACAATTAAATAAGCAGCAAAGGGAAAAGTCACAATAAAACGCATTTTTTCACAAATCAGAAATGGAACGCACAACAATATTGAACGTACAGTGCGTACGTTTAATCTGGATGATCCTCGCGCACATATTACACCGTCCTTTGGTCGCTCGTGGACAGGGTCACCCCTGTGGCCCGGTGTCCTGATTTCCACAGCGGAAATCGTTGGCGCTTCGGCGGGAAACGGTGATACTCGCAGCGCACAATTTCATAATCGCTCTATGCATAGTGCAAGTTAAGCGATGTGTTGGTTATTACGACACGTGACATGGCTAATGCCCAAAATTAAAAGCTTACCCCCGTACGTATATTGGGATGCACGGGATACTGATGCTACTGATGCTAAACTAGTCACATGATGTAATAAAAATTGGTCAGACATATACACGCACTTTTAGAAGTTGAACCACATAAGTCTAACGAGTGTATTTCACATGTAATTCACTTCTCATATTAATAGATGAACACAACCACTCGTTATAAGCATGAGAAAGACGCAACACGGCGCCGGGCTCGTATTTGTCATAAATTATGACTTATTGAAAGAGCGCAGAACATTTCATGTGGTTCATGTGGGTCTCGGTAGGCGACTGAGAACCGGTTCTTTGCGTCGCTTGCAGAGGAGGACACTTCGCGGTAAATATGGCGTTCAACCAATCAGAATTAATCTGAGTGCGTTGAAATAAGATTATATTTAGACTATGCTTAGATTATAATTTGAACAAGTTATATGATTATGCGGCAAACTGAAAATTCGAAAATTCAGATGTGTGTTGTGAGATGTGACTTATCAAGTTTCCTGTATGGCGAAATATTTTTTCTGAGAAGGCTGTGCTGTCAACTGTCGACTGCGCGTGCATTTCGCCTAGGTTGTTTTTGAGAATTTTTGCGACCAGGCGTATGCTTGTCAATGCCACGTTAAGTAAACAAGATGTAGCGTTGAAAATATACAATACATAATGCAATACAATATAATTAGACACTTACTTCTTCGATACTTAATTACTGTTCTATGTTAAGATGCGCATATTAGATTATGCATAATGTACTTTTAAATAATATTGAATAAGCTTGTTCCAACAGGAATGTTTACATTTATAAAACGGCATTAGCAGAAATAAAGTAATTGCAAAGTAATACTTCATTTCTGAAAAAATCTCTAAATACACTAAATTCTTAATGCACTGAAATTCATAATGCGCGGCAATATGGCCAGGCCATAGTCACTGTTGGGAAACAATAGAAATGATGTAATGTGTTATTTTATTGCTGTCCTTTTAGAATGTCTTCTTTGATCGAGGAACTGGAATCCTTCAATGGGACAAGAAAAGCATCTTCATGCTTTTCGTGCAGTATGAAAATGTTGTTTTGACAAGACCTGCTATTCGTGGCTGGCCTTCAGAACCGACCATGGAAAGCAAGAAGAGAACCTTCATTGCACCCAAGAGTCTTCAAAACCTCATAACTGGCAGAAAAGCTTTCCGCGGATCCAACAAACGTCCACTTCTCATGGAGCTTGCAATCGAATTAAGATGGCAAGGAAAGTTCGTGTCCAACATCACTGAAGAGAATTTTTTGAAAGAGGTTTGTATTACTAGTAAGCATAATGGTATGGTGAAATGATAAATTTTGTTACAAATATCCGTCTTTCTCGAAAAATACGTTGCCTTCAGCGATCAATAATGTACAAATGGATAGGACTTTTACCGACTTCAATTACATGACACTACCATTTCGTGGAATATTTAACCCTGCAGTATTTGAGTCCCATTTTGTAACGTAAGTTCTGTCGAGAGCTACTTAAGTATCTCAATATAAAATTATTTTTTAGTCATTACGTGTTTTATAATAACCTCCTGAGCAAGCAATCTTGTCTTACAACGCTTATTTGAATATATTGTGAAAGTTATGACACTTAAACTAATGGCATTTAAATCTATGTTGTCTCCAGATGCAGAAGGGAAATAAGCGGCGTCTATAAACAAACGATAATCATCATGTTTTATTACGATTGATAATTTATCATTTTTCATTCAGCAGTCGTGACAATAGTATATCACTATAATATATGATAATAGTTTATGACTCGGATAATACTATATCGCCCATCGGATTTTCTGCGTGGCAAAAATCCTTCTTATCACCCATAACAGTTATATTCAGACGCGCCACAACTGCTACCTAACCGACTTTAAAATTATCTCACATCATCATACAATGATAAACGAAGAGGCAGACTGAATGGTGTGTAATGTTATCTGAAGCTACTGATTCTCCTACCACTTGTAACTCAGAACAGATTACGCGTCAGCCAAACCAAAATGTCTGGCTTACACGCGTAGCCCACGCGAATTCTGGGGGGGGGGCACTCTAGAAGGAAAAAGTCGCCAATTATCAACCAATCAGCGATGGCAAATTTAGGAGGGAGGCATGCATTCATCTCACCTATGGGACAGCAAAACGAAGGCCAGGATACACATTCATCTGTGAATCAATGCGGGATACCCGAGTCCATTTGTTGCGACTTCATTATTTCACCGTCCATCGTGAAGCATTCTTTTCAAAACCAACTCCCCGATCAAAATACATTGCTTGCGGACGCAGAAAGTGCGTAATATCAGCCCAAAATATTATCCCTAAGCAAGAAGAATTTGTTAGGTTGATTTAAGGGTGTTCATTAAATATGCACTGTTTCCTTAAATATTTTTAATTGCATACGAGGCAACCAAATGCTGGCAATTATCACATCCGAATGAGAGAAAACCTACAAACTAATTTGAGTACAACCATTTAACGGGTTATCTAAAAGAGCTAGAACTGTCCAATATTAAACGTGTAGAAGTATCTGTTCGAATTGCTTACACAAAAATAACCACTGAAATCTGAATATTAATGAATTCACATTACAGATCCAAATTTCATTTTCGTGATATGAAGAATAGAAACTGCAGGGAACAATTATCCATCGTATGTGGCTATATAAAGCTCAATATATTAATTCACACAGAAGGTAAACAAAAAATAATTCGAGCGTTCAAGCAGTTTTAAAAATTTACATAAGATCTGGTTTATGTTGAGATTACATTGTTACGTCGCTGCATACCGGGGTTACAATTTATAACAAAACGGCATTTGAAGTAGATTTAATAGATTAAATTACTAGTAGTTCATTTAACATTTGATAATCTTAAAGTGCTTTAGTTTGCAACAAGTGTTGCTTTCCTCACTAGACAGTCTAACCAAAACCGTGGAGAAACGACCGAATGCCCAGATTTTTGGCATACACCGCGCCAGTGTGACGCGTCACGTGGTTCTGCCATTGCTCAAGAAAATCAACAAAGAATCTGGAGAATGTTTTTGAAACGAGACTCTCTAAACTGTAAATATTACTTCGAACTTCCTTTTGCAGATATTCATTAATGTAATTAATGAACAATGAATGATAAGTTAAAAGATCTCATTTGCCCCTACATAAATTTTAAAGAAACTAGTGATGCTAGAAAATAGCACAGACTTTCTCGCGTTAGTTTTCTATTTCATTGGTCTGGGCTAGCTATTTGGACTTGCCACATCCTCCTGCAAACAGCCATCTATCACCGCCAAAAAGAACATTTTTTTTAAAAACATTGTCTCTCTTTTTCGGTTTTCTAATCGTAGAACCGAAAATTACTTTAAGAATATTCAAGAGCAATAAAACTTCTTTCTAAATACCAATTTTCATTGAAAAATTTGGAACCGTTTTGAAGAAAATGGTGATTAAGCGTTATTATAAATGCAAAGTTTAAAGCTCTTTTTCACAGAAAACTATTGAGTTTTAGAAAACTTCATTTAAAGGCATTTGAAGCACTTCCAGTCACAAATGCAACTATGTATACAAATTGCTAAAAAATTGCATATTAATTACGAGAAACATTTTCTAAAATATTACATTGTTTACTTTTTGACAAAAACAAGAATACAGCAAAATTTATGTCATCTTGAACAGTGCCATTAGCATTTCATCTCATAGAGTAAATTTACCAATATCTCTATCAAACGTTTAAAAGAAAAACATTGAGAAAATCTCTTTTTTGTTATTTTTTCAAATGCATATCTTGCACGCAATATTGCGCGTAAACTACTAAAATTTTCAAAAAATGTACAATACCTTCACGAACCATAATTCTTATATCTGCTAATGATGCTGTTCAATTATGTTTCGAAGGTTTTTTTTTTGGTGCACTATTTGATTTCCTTGAATCGTCATAATCTCACGTACCATTCCACCAACTTCCACAGAGATGAAACGAATAACTGTTCGTAAGTAGGCCTTGTGTGGTGCCGAAGGGAGGAGAAATCCTCATCTCGCCGTGGGACGCCCCCGACTCCCCGCGCCTGGAGGTGGTCCGCGAGCCGCTGAACGAGTTGGTGGCGCTGACGGCGGCGCCGCGCCCGCCTCCCGCCCCGCTGGTGGCGCTGGTGTGGCGTGCGCTGGCGCGCGGGCCGTGCGCGTGCCTGGCGGCGGTGGTGGCGTGCGCGTGGGGCGCGCGCGTGCTGTGGGGGCGCGGCCTGGTGCGCCGCTCCGTGGCCGGCGGCGTGACGCTGCTGGGCGTGATGGTGCTGGCGGGCATGGTGCACTCGCTGCTGGCCCGGGTGCTGGGCGGGCGGGCGCGCGGGGGCGTGGTGCGGAGCCCCGGGGGCTTCCTGGCGGCCGACCCCGCCCTCTTCGAGGTTCTAGCGGGGGCGCCAGACCAACAGGCCAGGCAACTCGGGCGGCGGGTGCTGCCCGCTGCGGGGAGCGGACGGCCGGAGGACAGCTTACCAATAACGGGGGATTGCGGGTGGCTGGTGCCCATCGAAATGGCTAGCTGGCTCAAGCATCAGGTGAGATGGCAGAAGAGAATGTCATTGTTAATATACGACCTTTATTTCGCTCACCACACAGTTCGAAGTTTCCTTCCTGTCTCCTTCCAAACAGGGTGGACATTTTAAAACGATTTCGTAATACTGTCCGTTAATATATCTGCAGAACGTCCACCCAACACAGAGGAATAAAAAGGGAATCTTAATGGCCGCAAGACGTTAATTAGTCAAGGCATCACACAGCTATTTATTGAAGTTCGAAACCAGATGACTACTAACAAAAGTAGCATTCATACACACACATATATAACACATACAAGAGTAATTTTCAACTGTTCTAATACAGTATTCTTATTTTTTACCTATAATCTCTCATCATAGAATATCTGAATATTGAATGAATAATTTTTATTGTAATTGTATTGTATAGTCTTCATAAGAGATCGAAGTGATGCCGACGTGCTTGAATCTCTTGATGTTGATGCAACTTTCTCGATGCTGAATAACTGTTTAGAAATTTTAATTCATCGTCTACTACCTTACATCCTAGTCTTCTCTTTCTGTCTCCAATCATAGACTTTTCATTCTGACTCATCCCAGTCGTTTCCTCGTGCCTGTCATCCCTGTCTTCTTTTGTCATACATCCCAGTCTTTCTCTTCTGGCTCACATCCCAGACTTCTTCTTATGCTTTAGTATCATTCTCCATCATCTTCCAGCCTACTCCTTCTGCATCTTTAGAAAGTACTCTTGTTTATCTTCATCGCTCGGTTTTCTCCTCTGTCATCTTTCAACCTTGTACTTTCGTGTCCCGTCGTAATCTACTTTTTTATAACATTTCCCGTCGTGTGTATTAGAACATTTATTAGTATTAGTACAATAAGATTGCAATGTTTTTATGGTTACTAGGCGACTCCTCACATTCAGAATTCGGCGAGAAGCTGGCCGAATCCCGAGTCGTGTGGACGGGTTGCTTGCTACTCGCCGATCATTCGGTATTCGCCCTATCTCTATTCGGCGTGTCGGTCTTTAGGACACATCAAAGGGAGCGATCATTCGCCGAGCACATCAGCAGTAGCTCGCTGCCCGTCGAGTGCCGAGTGTGTGGGGCCGCCATTAGTAACCCTCTCGCCCTCCCCCGCAGCCGGTGGTGGTGCTGGGGGCGGTGCGGAGGCGTTGCGGGGTGGCGGTGGTGCCGGTGGTGGAGCTGGAGGCGGTGCGGAGGGGTGCGGGGGCGCCGGTTCGGGGGCGGCGCGGGTGTGGTGCTGGGTGGCAATGGTGGTGCTGGGGGCGGGCCGCCTTTCGTAACCCGCTCGCCCTCCCCCGCAGCCGGTGGTGGTGCTGGGGCGGTTGGGGCGACGGTGCGGAGCGTTCGGGTGGTGCTGGTAACGGTGGTGGCGCTGGGGCGGGCCGCCTTTAGTAACCCTCTCGCCCTCCCCCCAGGCGCGATGGTGGTGATCGGGGGCGGTGTGGGGCGACCGGTGCGGGGGTTGCGGGTGGTGCTGGAGTGGCGGTGGTGGCTCTGAGGGCGGGGCATTAGTAACCCTCTCGCCCTCCCGCGCAGCCGGTGGTCGGTGCTGGGGGCGGTCGAGGCGTTGCGGGTGCGTGGTGCGGTGTGGAGCTGGAGCGTGCGGAGGGGTGCCGGGGGCGCCGTTCGGGCGGCGCGGGTGTGGGCTGGGTGCGTGGTGGTGCTGGGGCGGTGCGGGTGGGTGCCGGGCTATTGGTGCTGGCGGGCCGCCTTTCGTGACCCGCTTCGCCCTCCCCCAGGCAGCGTGGTGTGGCTGGGGGCGCTGCGTGCGCCAGCGTTCGGCCCTGGCGGTGCGGCGCGGCTCGTCCGCTAGCGGCGGCGGCGGCGCGCGCGGCGCGGCGCCCTGGGCCGAGGCGGGCGCTGGCTCCGCCGCGCCGCGCGCTGCCGCTCCTACGGCGCCTGGGGCCGGGCGCCCAACGGCCCGCCCGCGGCCGCACCGCTGCGACGCCCGACGTGGCCCGCGCCGCCTCTACCTGCTGGCCGCCGCCGCCGCGCTCCGCCCTGCTCCCTGGCCTGCTGAGCGCGCGCGGCGCGGCCGGTGGCTCGGACGGGGCGGGGGCGGCGGCCAGCAAGAGGAAGCGCAGCGTCACCTCCACGGTGCTCAAGAGATGGCGGATGCTGAGTGTGGCGAATCTGCGGGCGGAATGAGTGATGCTTTGCACGGTCACGTGATTGCATCAGTGTGTTTTGTGTGCTTTGTGTACTCCAATGTCATTGAAACAGAGTTGAGAGAAATTAGGTGATCTGGGCCGCCCGGGTGACACCGCGTCGTGGACTGAAGTGCCTCAGCCTCCAGCCCTCGACGCGGTGTCACCCGGACAGCCCAGACCATGACTCTGGCCGCGGAAGCCTACGGCATCTTTTAAGAAATTATGTCGGCGGGTTATTCATGTTTGCTTACATAATGTTTAATGAACAAGTAAAGAGGGGAAATATTGAAGCCAGTTGTTTTGATTAATCTGTATGTTCTTTGTTGTGCTGAGAAAATTAGTTGTTTGTAAGCAATACTTCTATGGCCAGAACAATCACTTGTTGTGGCAGTATGCGGTGGGTCAATATATCTGTCACGCACACTATCTTATCACTAGAATCCGTGTCAGTTGTTTGATTTGACATGAATAGTCTCAAAATGTTGACTGACAAATATACATGTGGACATAGAGGTGATTCAGAGATACATTCTAACTCAATAAATAAGGCAGATGTAAATATGAAATCGATTATAAATGTTATCTAAGTATTTGTAGACTGTGAGGGGACCATTCTCAGAACTATGATGAAAATTAACAAAATTAAATTATAAAAATTTTACATGCAGAAAAATTAAAATAGAATATTGCGAAATATACTATATATATATATATATATATATATATATATATATATATATATATATATATATATATATATAGTAAAGCAAGACATTTAATACAAATGTAACAAAATGAAAAAAATAAAAATTGTGGTGATAAAGGGGGTAAAGTCATTCAGGTTACTGATCATCAAACTTTTTATGTCCTAAGTAATGTTATCGGTTTACTTGAACATATTATTCTCGATAATATTGTTGCGGTTATGTCATGACATGCCCTTTAACTGGGCTAGAAAACTGTTGCAATGAACATGGAGTCATAACTTGTGAATTACTATTGCGAAATTTTTTTGAGAGAGAAATTGCGTATGTTAATTTCAGAAATACTACGTTGCTCAATACAAATTAAAAAATAACATCTTCTTGTACGAACAGTTGCCACCATATAAGGAGAAAGTGGTGGATCCGTATTAGAGAGAATTCCCAACGGGATACGCTGAATAAGCACAAATGAAATAAAATAGCCTAAAACCCTATCCTCTCATTCTCTTGAATTTTTACGGACATTCGCACATCGGTACACAAGGGTATTCCAAATCCGCAGTGTCAGTCATCGAATGGTATTGTAATGATTTTCCGTCAACATAAACGAAGTCGTTCCTGGCGACTTTAGAACGGACCTGCGCCAGCCGTTTGCAGTGCTCGGGGCCACGCGCGCCGCGTGAACTTCGGAAAGTCGGTGTGACCGTGATATGTACGGAGGGCACTTGTTTCTGCAATTCAAAGTTTTCTCAGAATGAATCGGGTGGGGTTCGGCAAGTGTATTGCAATGAAATAATTATACGGGTCGTCATCGCCAACAGTATAGTGTATTTCAATAGCAGCTTTCGATGGCTTAGCCATCATCATCAGTTTTGAGCTATGTGGAAGCCACAAAGTGACTACCTAAGGGTATTGTAGTAAACAATACTGTTGGCAATTGCGAGTCATGTAATTATTTCATTGTGAATGCCAACGAAACCTAACCACAATATTGTAGATATTGACCACGTCCGCAGTTTTATATTAGACAAATAGTTTTTGCATCGCTTGTCCAGTTTATTCAAGTCAGAAAAGTGTTCAGTTTCTTATGATTTTTATCGTAATTATTGAGATATATTTGTCCCTGATGCAAGAACTATAATTGTCATATTATTTTTTCTATCAATCGCGTATAACCTATGTAGCAGTTCTAATATTTAGCTCTTTCTTTGAAATCAAAAAGCCATTATCTAATGAGATACGTTTTTAATATTACATAAGGCGATGGTTTATTTGGTAATAAATGGCAATTGTGTGAAGTGACACTGGGTGAAGAACACAACCGCAACGCTCAGCTGTCAAATGTGTAGGCAGTTTGAAAGAATGTAGCAAAAAAAACATGTTGATGCGCGTATTTCAAGCTCAACACAGACTTGTCACATACCAAAGGGGGGGGGGGTTACCGATGGTCTCCAGCTCAGTGTTTCCCTTTTGTCTTTGTTAGGTTAATTTCATCACTACGGACTTTCATTTTTAGAACCTTTTCAAACCCTAAGTAATAGTTTTGTCTTTCAACGTTTATCAGATATTTGAAAAAAAATTCGAAACCCTTGTAACGCGTCATCGTTCCGTGGACACTTCAGCGTTGTCTGCCAGTCGGGTCTCGCCATAATTCTAAGAGAATGTGTGACTTATTAATGACATAAATAGACTCATAAAATACTAAGTACATGGAATGTATTTGTCATTGTAAAATGTTCTCAAGGACTGCATGTGTTCGGAATAATTTGTTCGCTACTTATACCCCCTGCACGCAACGTCATAACAATTCCTGATAATATGGCGAACGCTGCCGCAACCAGCATCACTGCCGCCGCCGCCGCCACCACCAGCCAGCCGAGGCCAGAGCCATCGAGTCCCCTTGCGCGATGGTTACTTAGGCGCCGACGCTCCTTTTGTTGGCGGTGTGCGCAGCCTGGTGGGGATGCGTGGCGGCAGCGAGAACACAAGGCGATCCGTATTTACTAGGCTGTCCGGGTGACGCCGCGTCCATGGCGAAGGTGCCGACGTTTCGGTCGCCATTCTGCGACCTTCCTCAAGTAGATTGCAATACGCCCTGAGGAAGGTCGCAGAATGGCGACCAAAACGTCGGCACCTTCTCCGTTGAAGCGGCGTCACCCGGACAGCCTAGTAAATACTGACTCCGGCCGCGGAAGCCTACGCTCTCACAAGGCGATCCACTGACAGCCGTGTTTCCCATGCTCTCTCAAGGCGCCCACGCATTGCTCCTTTTGGAGATCAGAGAGGACAACGAAGATTGCAATGAAGTGATGCGGCAGCACGACTTCGGGCGATCGGGTTCCGGTAGCAAGACTTCAGGTGACCCTAGGTGACTCACACCTCTCGTTGTCAGAGCGACTTGCTTCGCTCGCAGATAGCCCTGTCGCTGCCTCTGCAGCGATTCTGATCGAGAGTTCGCAAGGTTCGCGTCGCGATGGTGGCATATTTTCCGCACTAACTAAATACCTTCGCGGAATTTAGTCGCCGACTGGAGAGAAATCCATTGGCCAACTGCTCTAATCTGTAGTTATGAAGTTTTGAAATTTTCGAAAATCAGGGATTTAAACGAAACTGCGATCTACACCATTCTTCGAATCGTTACTTACGCTATTCGAGGACAAAGTTTAGTCAAAACGTTTGGATAAATGTTTGAGAAAATGTTTAAAATGTTATAAAAAGTACCCCCAAATATCAAAATATTATTTTCAAACTCAGAGAGCATAAAGTTTCTTTAAATATGTCGATGATTATCAATTTAAGAGAAAACCGGTCCAACGGTTTAGGCGCTTCCGTTGATCGCAGACACACCACATAGACGGACTGACAGACGTTTAGCCGACAATCAATCTTTTGGTATCAAGGACCCACAAAATATAGATTCTGACTACAACGTGTTCGTCGAAGTAATTTACTATAATTGGAACAAGAGTTATCCACTTTTCGTAACAAGGTTCGGCAATAAGATATTTTCTGTAAATAATTCACAGTTTCCGGTAAACGAATTACAATACGATCCGTTTTTGTGAAGGAAGGCGAGAAAGTAAGAATAGAAAGGTACAGAAAGATACAGAATTGAAACCTCATAGAGCCTCACCTTCTGTTGAGCCATTCACATGGCCGAGATCGGTGAGGCAGTAGTGCCGCAGGGGTCTCGGACCAGAAGATAGCGGATTCGAGTCCCGCGTCGGGCATGTGTGTATTCGTGTATGTCTGTATGTATATGCCGTCCTTTCACCTCTCACTATCACAATCATTTCCATTTTCACACCCCCAGTGCTAACAACCCTGGGCGATAAAAATCAGATCCAGCTAAATGCTGTTCCCCTGATAAAGTTACATGTAACTTCCACTGATGTATTAGTACTGAGCTCCGGTAAACGCAGGGAACATGCACGCGTGGTGTAAGACGGCATATTCGCGAGAAAAAGAAATCTGTTGGCCAAATCAACTGCCCCGTTACATGCAACCCGCTACACTCAAACGAGAAGCAGGCTGACCTCGTAGGCGTCCACGACACAGGAAATAGCACCTCTCAGCAGTCCTTGCCCAAAATTTTGTTTAAATTATTTACTATTTTACTAGAATTTTTGAAATCTACTATGCTGCAACTTGAATAAAATCTCTATTCTATTCTACCACAAAGCACCAATTACGCAACGTCATTTTGCTACAAAGAAGTCAGCTACAGGAGCCGCTCTTGTGTTAAAATTAGGATATGTTATCGATTACTTATTTACAGAAAGGTTTCTTCATGATTAATACCTTCTCTACCATCTCTGTCTATGCCTCTCTCTGTCCCTCTCTCAGTCTGTCACCGTCTCTTTTCCCTGTTCCTCCCTTTCTCCTTGTCTCTCAGTGTCTTCCCATGTCTCGCCTTGTCACACATTGTCTCGCCTTGTCCCTCCTTGCCTCTCCTTGTCTCTCAGGGTCCAGGTGGAACGCACTTTGAATGGAAATTGAATTAAAATGAAGCGCATTTGTTTTCGGCATAAACACTCTGGGTGAAACGACACGTAGATCGGTTTCGTAGAGATCGGTCACACGGTGTCAGAGTTTACCGCACTTATATACATACATGCCAACATCCATATTAATTGAATTACATACTAATATACAGATAATAGACAGTACTATAATAACAGAGAAGCCATTTAAAGAGAGCAGCAACAATTTGCCAGTAGAAAACGCAATTAATTTTCAGTATGTTTTATTCAATAAACACTACCAAGAAGCCCACTCTTAATATCAGCAAGGGGAGAGTTTGTTAAAGAGTCC